ATGGCCTCATTTAACTCCGTGATAGCTCTGGATAGTCACGTACATCTTCTCAACCCACCATATGTGAAACTCAAACCGGTGACAACATTTTCACTCGCATTAATATTCCGCGCTTCAAAAATGTGCTCGTTTTGACTTTGGGCTCTCACTTGTCCCTGGTAACTTTTATCATCGTTTTGTTTGGCTGTTTGTTTAATTGTTTTTATCTTACGGCACACAATCAAAGTATACTCGTACTCGAATGCACCTGTTCTACAAATGTTGAGCATCTGATTTAATCTGCATGTCTAGCTAGACGAGAAAAATGCCTAGAGCATGAGTATCAAATAGTTCACTTACCGTGACAATAGCCAGCCAAGTGGCTCCCTCGGCGTGTCTCAGTAGATTGGCTCCACCAACATAGGATAAAACGTACATGAGAATAAATATAGTTCCTCTGGTCCCCGAAGTGGAGTCACAACCTGCGGCGCCAAAGAAGCATTGAACTCCAAACCACCAACTAGAAATAACACATAAATTCGGTTGAGTAAAAGGTTTTGCAATCGGTCTCCGGCTAGGTCAGAGACTTAACTCCCAAACTGCCACTCTCCACTCGAGAATATTTATTAATAGATACCGACAAACAATCTGAGCAAGTTATCGAGGGGCAACCCGAAAAGCACGAACTTTCCAACCACAAAGAGAGGCAGTTATTTTGGTCGCTTCAGAAACCGGGGTGAATCAGTAGATTTGCAAAGAAGCCTGGCATAAAGTTTTATGATGTCAAATCTTGTTTCAGTTAAACAGCTATTAAGAAAAAAGAGAGAATTCCACGAAAACTCACTTTTCCCCAAACTCTTGGATATTGCTAACATTTCCATACCACGGCAGAATGTCCAACCAAAACAAAAGTCCCACACAGAGTAGCTGATAAGAAGACGTCCAAAATAGGAAATACAACAAGTTGATGCCTTTCTTTGAGGATTGACTTTCCATCTTCACTCCCTTTTCTTCGATCACGTTCATAACGGCTGCTGGAACCTAAAGAGTAAAACCAAATATATCAGCGAGACCCACTGACAACCAAGATCGGCCGAGAAATTCTCTTTTCTAGTTGTTACACATTTTCTTGTGAAACAGCCAAGAGAATTTGATGATAAGTTTGTGTATCTTCATAACCTGGGCTGAATACCGCTTTTTAAAATTCGAGATGACGTTACATAATTAATTGTGGTCGACAAAGGAGTGAGGGGTATAGCACATACCATTTAAGTCAAATTATGATCTTGTTAATGTGGTATGATACCTTAAAAAAGGCAAAAATTTCGAAGTTTTACCTAAAAATTTTTATTGCTGGAAAAGGTCCGTATTTCACTTGGTATTAACGGCACAGTTTAATTTTTCTTGAAAATGTTATTTGTTGTCCAGTATTTACTCGTTTTTGAGACCAGGTCTTTGGTTGCCAGGGGCAACAGGTTTGTTTTTATCTTGTTTACAGTGA